ACCACAGTTATCCTTCTTTGCTTGTGATAGCATGTGATCCAGACTCTTGGCAAATTTAAAGTACAAATACAGTACTATTAGTAATAGTCACCATAGTATACATTAGACCCCTAGAACTCACTCAGCCTGCATGACTGAAATTGTCTTCTTTACGGAATGTTTCCCTGTTTTCTCTATCATGCATCCCTTGGCAGCCACAATTGTACCATGTGCATCCATGAATTTTACTGTTTGCATTTGAATGAGATTATATAACATTTGTCTTTCTCCATCTACTTATTTTGCTTAGAAAATATACTTCAGTTTCATCTGTATTCTTACAAATGGCAGAATTTTCTTTTTAAAGGCTCAATAACAACCCCATTGTATAAATATACCACATTTTTTTTATCCTTTCATCCTTGGACATTGAGCTTGTTTCCACATCTTGGCTATAGTGAATAATACTACAGTGGATCTGGAAAATTAGATATTGCTTCAAGGTCTTAATTTCATTTCTGTTGGACAGGTACCCAGTACTTGGTTTGCTAGATTGAATGGCAGTTCTTTTTTGTTTTGTTTTGTTTTTTTGTTTCTGTGGCCAGCTCAGCCCGCCCTGGAGACAAGGCTGGCACAGCATGTGGTGCTGGTGATGGTCCCTGTGTTTTGCCTAAGCTTGCCTAAGCAGACACTTTAGACCACTGAACTATCTCACCAGCCCCGACTGTTCTGTTTTTAATTTTTGAGGAATTTCTATACTGTTTTCAGTAGTAGTTATATCAGTTTATATTCCCATCATAGTGTATAAGCGTTTCTTTTTCTCCATGTCTTAGGCAACATGTATCATCCTTTTAGGCTGTTATCCACCATGGCAGGTATGAAATGACATCTTACTGTGAAGTGACATCTCACAAATTTTTATTTACGTGAATCACAGAAAACAACTAACGCACATGCGTGCATACATACACACATACACAAATTTTTATTTACATGAACCTGATGACTTTTGATGTTGAGTACCTTTTCATATACCTGTTGGCTATCTGTATGTCTTCTTTTAATGAGTATTGTTTCATTTTCTAAATTGTGTGTGTGTGTGTGTCACTGAATTTGCCTTTCTTATATATTCTGACTCTTAATTACTTAGGTATGGTCTGTAAGTTATCTTTCCATGCTGTTGGCTATTTTCCTTTTTGGATTGGGTGTTCTTCTGGGAATGGCACTCAGGACTTCACACTTGGCAGGCATGCGCTACACCACTGAGTTAAACTCCCAGCCCCCCATGAGTTATTTTCTGTGATGAGTAGTAACTCTTGAATTCAACACACTTTTGCGTATTTTTGCTTTTGTTGCCCATGCTACTTGGATCATATCAAAGAACCAATGTCCAAAAGTTTTTCCTTGTGTTCACTTCTAGTAGTTTTACAATTTAATGACTAATGTTAAAGTATTTAATCCATTTTGAGTTCATTTTATACATATGGTGTGACATAAAGGTCCAGTATTATTTTTCTTTGTGAACTACTGATTTTCACAGCACTACTTAACAAAGACTTATGTTTTGTCTGTTGTATGTCTTTGGCATCCTGATCAACAATCAGTTGATTATAAATGCATGAGTTTATTTCTGGGCTCTGTGTTCTGTTCTTCTTGTCTTTTTATGCACATGAAACCAGGAAGTGTGGCACCACTTGTTCTGCTTCAGGGCTGCTTGGGTGATTTAGGATCTTTTGGTGGTTTCATAGGAATTTTTGGATTTTTTTTCCATTTCTGTGAAAAATGTCATTGGAATTATGATAGAAAAATACACTAAATTTATATCTCATTTCAGTAGGTGGACATTTTAACAGTATTCTTGAAATTCATGAGCATGGGTTGTTCATGAATTATTTCTTTAAATTTTTTCAGCACAGCTTTGTAGTTTTCAATGTATGAATGAGTCTTGTTCCTCCTTGGGAAAGTTAATTCCTAAGGTTTTGGGGTTTTTTTTGTTTGTTTGTTTGGGTTTTTTTTGATGCTACTGTAAATGAGATTGTTTTCTTAATTTCTGTTTGGAATAGTTGTTAATGTTAAGAACTGATTTTTATATATTAATTTTTCATCTTGAAACTTTAATGAAATCTTTGTTCTAATAATTTTTGATAGAGTCTTTATTAGAATTTCCTCTGAATGAGGTCATGTTCCCTGCAGAGACAACTTTAATTCTCCCTTTCTGGAGAGATTTTTATTTCCTTTTCTTTCATAATTGCTCTCTGTGAACTTTTACTGCTATGTTGAGTAGTAGTGGCAAGAGTGGGCATTCTTGTCTTATTTCTTTTCTTAGAGAAAAAGCTCTCAACTTTTCCCTGATGAGTATGATGTTAACTGTGAACCTGTCATATATGACCTATGTTGAGGCATATTTCTTTTTATATATAATTCATTAAGAATTTTGATCATGAGGGCCTGGTGAGATAGCTCAGCAGACTAAGTGCCTGCTTAGGCAAGTGCAGGGACTGGGATTCGATCCCAGCACCACATGCTGCGCTGGCCATATTCCCCCGGGAGCGTGCTGAGCCAGCCACCGTGGTGGTGCCTGTAATCCCAGCACTGGGGAGGCCAAAAACAGGAATATCACTATGAGTCTGAGTTGCGTGGTGAGAAAAAAAGAATTGTTACCATGAAAAGGTGCTGAATGTTGCCTTGTTTTTCCTGCATCTTTTGTATAGTCATATGATGTCTGTCTTTCATTGGTTTACATACATTGAAGCACCCTTGCATCACAGGCATAAATCTTGCTCGATCATGATAGATTATCCTTTTAAAGTGTTGTTGAATTCAGTTTGCTATTGTTTTAACATCTATGTTTAACAAGGTATTCACCTGTAATTTTCTTTTTTTGTAATATCTTTTTCTACTTTGGTATCATGGTAAAACTGGCTTTATAAAAGGAGTTTGGAAATGTTCTCTCCTCTTTTTTTGGAAGAATTCAAGAAGGCTTGGTGTAATTCTTCAAATGTTTGATAGTGTTCACCATTGAAAACAAGGTCCTGTGTTTTTCTTTTTGGGAAATACATTTTTCGTAGCTATCGCCCCAGAGAAGCCTTAATCTCACAATCTCTGAATTAGTTATCACCTTAAAGATGGAGAGGCACCAGCTACTGGGTTTCTTCCCTAAAGAGTTAAAAATACCATACCATAGCGATGTGTGTGCACCCATGCTTGTAGCAGCACAATTTGTCATAGCTAAATCTTGGAAGCAACCCAGATACCCATCAACCAAGGAATGGATAAAAAAGATGTGGGCTTTTCACATAATGGCGTACTACTTACCCAGAAAGAAGGATGAGCTGGAGATTTTTATAGGTAAATGAATGCAACTAGAGACCATACTTATAAGTGGAATGAATCAGGCTCACATGTGTAAGCATCATGTTGTCTCTCTCCCTAGTGTAAGAAACTGAAAGAGTAAGTAAGATCTAAAGCGTACAGTAAATATTGTGAAAGAGAAAGAAACTACTCAAAAGGAAAGAACAAGCCAGTTTGGTGTGGAGGAAAGGAAAAAAGAAGGAAGGGAAGACACAAGATAGCTAAGAATACTCTGTTAGTTCATTGAAAGGAATGGTTTGTGCTTATATTATTTGATCAGTTTTGTATGCCTGTATCTTATAATCTGAGTAAGTACTTTGAAGATAACAATATACAGTGTAATAACCACTGTTAATTTTCTGTCATCTCATTTTGAAATTCTATATCACTGTTTTTATTTTTCTCTTCAAAATTAAAAAAAAAAAAAAAGGATGGAGGGGTCTGTGGAGGTCCCCTCAGTATGACTTTGAGGACGAGCTCAGCATTTACTTCCACTGCTGCTGATGCATCCACCCATTAGGTCAGAACACCTTTGCCTTTGAAGTTCTTCTCTTTCCTTTCTTGTTGCTGTCATCTCAGTCTTTTATTCAGAGTCCTTGAGATTTGGACATCTGTCTGATAAAAATGGTGAAAAAAACTTTTTACCTCAAGGCAGGCTCTTTCCGTGCCTGTTTATTTTCTTGATAATCTCCAGTCAACTGTCCCATTCTAGGCTCCACTGTACCTTTTAATTGTTAATAAAACCTTGAACCTGAATATCCTACTCCATATCTACAACCTCTTTTCAATTCTCCACATACTTGGTTTTTTACCTTAACAAGACCTTTATGCTTTAATCTCATTATCATGTCAATTTTTTTATCCTTTTCCTGACTTGACTTCATTATTTACTTCACTCAGTTGCTTGGTCCAGCTCTTGAATTACTACATTGTATCCTTCAACACAACTGTCTTAGACTGTAATGTTTGGGTTGGTGTGATCTAGATCATTGCTGTAATTGAAGTGGCTGTTTGCAGCTGGAGAAAATGCATAACTCATATATGTAGCACTACAGATCCCTGCCTTCAGTTCTCATCTGGATCTTTAGTAACAGGTCATCCTCATTGTCCTTAAACTTGATTTGTGTTCCTTGCACCCTTTATTCCAAACCTTGTCTGTTCTTTTTTTATATGTGTATTTAGTACAGAGTCTACAGGGTCTCACTGCATATATCTGACTTGTAGTAGCGATCCTTCTGTTTTCAGCCTCCCAAGCTCGGGGGTTATAGGTGCTTACCACCACACCCAGTCTCAGTCTCTGTCTGAGCATGCCCCGGGGGCGGGGCCAGCACCAAACCTTGCCTGTTCTTAAGCCTACATCTTCTTAGCTTTCTCAACATTCTGTCTAGTTTTCCCTTTGGAAAGCCTTAGTTATAAAGGAAATAAATTAGTAACAGACTTTGAGGTCTTTGAGATTTCCAAATATTGAGCAAAGTATTTTCACTTTTATAATAAATCCTTAAGCTTTTTGGTATCAGGACCTATAATTTTTAAAGTCTGAAGTTTACAAATAGCAAAATGTTTTTTAGTGACATGAAATTAAATTTTAATTTAATTTAGTATAGATGTAAATAAAAGCAAATATTGAATAAATTCATTGGATCAAATGTATTATATTCTCAATTCTCTAGGACATTAAATTGTATGATTGGACAGATGAAGCATATCTTGGCTTCAGAACAAAAGAAAACAGATTTTAAACCAGAAGATGAAAACAATGTTTTAATTCAGTATACTAATGTAAGTAAAACTAGCTTCAAAATAATAAATTTATCTAATTTGTTAGTACTTTAACATTTTTCACCAGTATATCTTGCCTCTTTTCTTGTATAGAGATTAGTGAGAAATTATATTTTTTTTCCTTAGTTAAACTGATATACATATATAATAAGTGTAGAAAAACTTTTATAGGCCTGTGTAAAAGTCTGCGCTTATGTAAGAAAGCAAGTGGAGAAGATCAAAAATTCCATGGATGGCAAAAATGTGGATACAGTTTTGATGGAACTTGGAGTACGTTTTCATCGACTTATTTATGAGCATCTTCAACAATATTCTTACAGTTGTATGGGTGGCATGTTAGCAATTTGTGATGTGGCTGAATATAGGAAGTGTGCCAAAGACTTCAAGGTATGTATACAAATAACAAACCTACAAATACGATCAGTAACGTACATCAGACCATTAAGTCTGTAATGTTTAATACAGTGTTTATAATTTCTGTGATGAGATGTATCTAACACATCCTATCTGAAAAACTATTCCAATCATACTTCCAATATTAACACATTTTTTTTCTTTGTGCTTTCTTTTAGATAATTGCTTATATTTTAGTTGCACAATCTTTTTTTTTTTTTTTTTTTTTTTGTGGTACTGGGGATTGAACTTGGGACCTTGTGCTTGCCAGGCAGGTATTCATACTGCTGAGCTATCCCTGGCCCTCATTGCACAATCTAAATGGCCTTATTGATAGCCATAGCTAATACTGTATATGTCACACATTAGGACAGTATCCTTTCTTCATGTATGTCTCTCTGAAATTATTTTTCACCAGACAAATTAATAACTAGTTCTGGTCTACCAAAATAATAGGATTTATTTTCTTTCTTTCTTTCTTTCTTTCTTTCTTTCTTTCTTAATGTATTTAGTACAGGGTCTCACCACACAGATCAGACTCGTAGTGATCCTCCTGTTTTCAGCTTCCCAAGCACTGGGATTGCAGGCACGTGCCACCATGCCCAGTCTCAGTTGCCCTCTCAGAGTGGCCTGGGGGTCCAACCCCGGTCCTTCGTCTGCCTGAGCAGGCGCTTTAATCTCAGCTATCTGGCCAGCCCCCAAAATATGGTTTTGAGAAAATTGACATAATAGGAATCTTTTCAAAAGATTATAGCTTTTATAATTACTTAACTACAAGATTTCACTCTTCAGTTTTCAAAATTTTTAGTGTTGAACTCCTTCCATACTACTAAGTCTTGACTGGCAATATGTAAGAGGAATTTGCAATCATAATTATAAAATGGGAAATTAACTTTGTTTTATTTTTTTCTTCTCTTCATTCAGATTCCAATGGTATTACATCTTTTTGATACTCTGCATGCACTTTGCAACCTTCTTGTAGTTGCCCCAGATAATTTAAAGCAAGTCTGCTCAGGAGAACAACTTGCTAATCTGGACAAGAACATACTTCACTCCTTCGTACAGCTCCGTGCTGACTATAGATCTGCCCGCCTTGCTCGGCACTTCAGCTGAGGTTAAAGTGACAAAGGAAATACGTTTGAGCAGGCCTCGGCTGACAGAAAGCACAGCAGATCCCTTACGGCACAGCCGACATTTTATGGAAAAACGACTGAAGAAAACAGCAGCCATACTTACCTTTTGGTTTTATTTGAAATTTGGACACCACTAACTGTATTTACTTTTTTTCCTGCTAAGTTGAATTATAATTCCATTCTTGAATTTATACATTTCAAATTCTGTAAAACTACATGTCACTGTTTTTCATTCTGGAAAATGTTGGTGTCAGAAGGCAAATGAAATTTTACCAGTGTATGGTTCTAGTTCTTTAACTTAATTCCATCTGGAAATTTTACCATCCCATTTTGCATTAATACTGGATAAATTACAAAAAAAAATTATTATTCATCAGTTTTTAATGACCTTTTCAGTACTAGTAATTCTTAATCAGATTATTGTAGATTTTCCTAAAGAATTTGTTGACTCAGAGGTTAATGAGTATAATTTCTGTAGTTTTGTTGATTACAGTTTTTTCCAGGATACAATTCCAAGAAAATATTATAAACTAAAATAATAAAATAGTTTATGCAGACATTATCAGAATACATCTGCTTTCTCAGTAAATTTAAAGTTTACTGTTTTTTATTTGATAAGTAAATTTAAGCCAATTCTAGTAAATTAATAAAACTACCTTATTTTATATTTCATTTAATGTAGAAGACTTTAACTAAAGAACCGTATTTATTCATTACTTTAATGTTATAAGGGAAAGTAAATGAGGGGTAGTCTTAAGTGGTGCATATGAGAAATACATGTTTAGGAACAATGCAGTTCTTTAAGATTTTTATCTTACTGATAAACTTGAATAAGATGTGATCTCTAAACCTACAGGTAATCTACTTTAAGAAGAATTGGAAATTGATCAGTGACACTATATATTCTAAGTTTGGGCATCAAAGGCTGGTTACTTTTCAGATCTGTAGTTGTTTTCATTATCCTTTTTCAAGTCATTTCTAAAGTTCTTCCTACTTAGCTATGGTTAATTGAATTGGCTTAATATGGTGGCATAATAAATTATTTAAAAATTTTAAACATGAAAAAATTTTGAAATAGTCATTACTTTATAAACCTTTTAAATTTGCTCTGCAAGAACACATTCTAAATTAAATGTAGTGTTCCAGCTTCTGTTGTGTTGCTTACAGTCTTCTAGGAACCAGACAAACTTTAATGTTCACTTCATTTTTGGCAATTTTTTCTTAAATGTAAGGCTTTATAGTCTAATTTGGGAAAACTGCCTTTCTTCTCAGAATCCAATTCTAAGTGGTTATCGATTTTTCCAAACCATCCAGGTCCAGAGCTACCTACTGTTTAAATTACCATTGACTGAATTTTTTCATTTTCTGTTTAGCCCAGTGTTATCAAGGTATGCAAAGCAAATGAAATATGCCAACTTTTGTCAAAGCATTTTTGGATATTGTGGCAGCTTTAGAAGGCTTTCCAGATTTCTTTTCTTATCCAAGGGAGAACCAGCATAGGTTTTGGATACAAGAAAAAGTCATATCCTTGTACTGTTGCCATTTTAGAAAGCTCTTATGTGAATTCAAATTATACCTCTGTTACTTAAAGCCAATTTAAAGGCAGTAGTTTTACTGGCCATTTGAATTCTTTGTACAGTGTCAATTTGTAAAAAAACAAAAAAACCAAAAAACTCAAATAAAACATGAGATGGCACTTAAAACCTCCAGATCAGAGAAGTGCTTCAACTTACTTTGTTTGGATTAATTTTTTAAATGTAAAGCATATAGTTATTGCTTAGATATTTTGTTTATTATTTCTTCTATGCTTGAGTTCTGTGCAATATTTTCCATCATGTCCATTGATAGGACAGTGACAAAACTCATAAATGAATAAATAATTTAGAAGTGTTAACATTAATGCTCAATAAACAAATTCCCTGCAATTGTTTTTTTTTTTTATTTCACTCTATTTCAAGGATATCCGTAGTGAATTTTATAAAATTTTTATTTAGAAGCTTGAGAAATTATTTTTCATAGCTTAGATCTTACTTTTTCCCCACAGAAAAGTACTAACTATATGTCGAAGATTAGAAACACAAGCTATTAACATTCTTTAAGAAAAAAATAATGTGAAATAATTAGCATTCTTTGTGTTCTGAACATATTTTCATGTTTTGTCATTGCAAAATGTAGCCCAAAACTTATAACTCAAAAGAGCTGATCAATAAATAGAATGTTTTTTTATATGCATGTAGTGAAATTTTAAGTAGAGATAGACCTTACTAGCTGTTACCAACATTTAAATCAGAGGAACTTTTTTTTTGCGGCATTTCACCGTTGTTCATGAGCTATATACAGTATTTAGGTAATCTGTTGAAACTGAAAATCTCCTCTAAGCACAGCAGATTGTCTTTCTAAAACTTCAGTTATATTATGTGAAATGCAGAACACTAGCTTAAGAAGCAAGTCTGGCTTTTGTAAGCTAAGCTGTTACAAAGGACAGTCAGCCAGAATCGAGGAAGAGTCGTACGAAGAATAGTTAAATAACCACTGAATGATCATCTGACCAAGACAGTCTTTGGTCATTTTGAGGAGGACCGTCATGGCTGCGGGTCTTTAGAGTTTCCTTTGTTGTTTTAAAAAATATATGTTAAAGTAGGTAAATTTAAAGTAAGTTAAATTAAAATTTTAGGTTAATTTATGTTATAATAGTAGGCCATTTTCTTTCCTTTTGCTTCTAAATATTTCACTTCCCAAACACTAATCTTCCGGTGCACGTTGAAATAACTTCAGTAACAGATGGATTCCAAGTGGAGAAATTACTGGTTCCTTAAGATAACTGTCTCATCTCTGATGGTTAATAGCTCTAGGTGTCCAGGTAAGGAGATGCTGGTTCCTGAAATGCCTCCAACTCCCTTAAGCACTCCTGTTTATAAGGTAGTGGCTAAGGCATTCTTCAGCTGTGTGTGGGATAAAAAAGGCTCAGAGCTGGGAGATTAACATGTCTTTAATACAAACTATTGTGCCACGTATACATTAATTGATTACTTAGAAATGTGAGGTGTTTTCCAGAACCATACTACATTTTCTTGTTTTCCAATGGAGAATTTTACATGCAAAGCAGTCTATGCTCTCATCAAATTATTTTAATTACATCAGTTCTTATACTGCTGGTATTTACTTGAGAAGGCTTACCTCATAATACAGTATGCACTTTGGAAGAAAAGAGCTGTCCATGTTGTTGAATAATTGTACGTGAAGTAAACTGCAATTTTTAAAAAAATTTAGTGCCTAATAAAGATAATTATAACTACATTTGTTTGACTTAAGAACAATGCACTATGCTAAGTCCTTTCCATACATTATTTGATCCCAGAGCAACTCTAGAATTTGGGTATTGTTACTTCCATTTGATAGGTGAAAAACCTAAGGTATAAGCAGCAAAGTAGACCCATCAAGGTGTACAGCTGATAAAAAGCTCAGATCTAAAATCTTAAGTCCTTTTCACTCTTATGTTCCATATATTATTTTAAGTAACACTAAATAGGTTCTTTACTTTGTTTTGACTTAATTTTCAAATTACGTAAGTCAGGAAGTTGTAATTTAAGTGTGTACTTAATAGAACTATGCCTTTCACCAAGTTCTCCTTAGTAAGATTTATACAATTACACTTTTTCTTAGTAATTTTAACCTTAGAAAGAGTGTAGATATTTTGTACCATATTTTTTAACATGGGACAAAATGGCAGTTGTTTCAGGAGGTATGACAAATCAGTGTTTCTGCCTTCAAAAACAGACTAAATGTCATAAGCTTGCTAGTTCTGTTAGCTGTTTAGTACACTGGTATTTTATAAGTGGCCAATATTACATTAAAGATGTAGGGCAAAATGACATACTACCAGTACTGTATAATCTGCATTCATTTTTATACAATCAGAATTACGTGTTGAAATTGCCTTACCTGTTACCTTTCATTCCTACCACTGATCACTCATTTCTCTCTGCGAATTTCACGGGGAAACATTCTGTAAAGTGTTTCAGAGAAAACTGACACAATAGAGAACAATGATTTTAATTTATGAATTGGAAGCAGCTAGGCAGATAACCCTGGGCTTAACAAAATTTATATTTGTAAACTTAGGCCCTATATATTTTATTAAAGTTAGTTAATAAGTATCAGTAAGCTTCAGTTCTTAAGATTGAATGTCTGTTTGGGGTTTGGGGGAAAAAGTAGTTCAACATACTTGATCATCTTCTAAATGGTTTAGAAGGTTGCAGTCTGCCTCACCGTACAGAGCCAATTTAAATAGGATATATCATACTCCAAATAGCAAACAACCTCTGAGGAAAGTCATTTATTCAGAAGCACATATTTATGCCAGGCAGCAGTGATGCATTACAAATATATAATTATTTGTGCTAATATTTGAGCAGGTGGAATGGATTAGAACATGGTCAACATCATGCTGCTGATAACATGTATTTTTCTATATTAATATGTACTGTGCAACATGTATTAAAATTGTCAATAATTCATTTTAGCCAAGATACTAATATTTATATTACTGTGTTTAAGAGACAGTATCCAACTGAGCCACTTTTAATTTAAAAGTCTAAAAATGAATTTAGTTGATTTTCAGAAATCACTTAAATGACTTTATAGTCACTGAAAGGTCAGTAAAACATAGAATTAGCAGTGCTTCCTGACTTAATAGGAAGAAATATGGAAGATTGAGTGGTGGTAGGAACATGGAATGAGAAAGTTAGGTTTCATTTACAGCTCAGATAAAGTGTCTTCCTGTTTTCACCACTGAAGATCTTAAAGTCCTTTCCGACAAATGTTTACATTAATAAACTCAGTGAGGAGTAGATAAATATCAATTCAAAAGCAATTAATTGCCAGTGATGGACTTTGAGATTTTTTCTTTTTCTTTTTGCATTTTCGGCCAGGGTCTACAGGGTGTCACTGCATAGATCAGACTCATAGTGATCCTCCTGCCTGCAGCCTTCCAAGTGCTGGGATGACAGGCACGCACCACCATACCGTCTCAGCGTGCCCTGGGGGGAGGGCCAGCATGGCAGGCCCTGGGATCAAACTCCCGGCCTCTGCATCTGCCTAAACAGGTGTTTTAATTCACTGAGCTATTTGGCCAGACCTAATAGTAAATTTTTTATTTTTCTTTCTATTTATGTATTTACTTTGGTAGTACCGGGAATCGAACTCGGGACCCTGCACTTGCAAGGCAAGCACTTATACCACTGAGCTGTCTCCCCAGCCTGGACTTTCAGGTTTTTGAGATTACTCTTTGAGAGGTGGGAACCTTTCCACCTGTTTGCTTGCCAAAGATTTTGCTTTAGACTACCAGTAACCTTGGTTCCTGTGGCCTGTATTTGGTACAGGGTCTCACTACACAGCTCAGACTCTAGTGATCCTCCTGTTTTCAGCCTCTCCAGCACTGGGATTACAGGCACATGCCACCATGCCCAGACTCAGTGGCTGGCTCAGCCCACCCAAGGGCGGGATGGCATGTGGTACCGGGATTGAACCTTAGTCCCTGCACTTGTCTAAGCAGGTGCTTAATCCGCTGATCTTGTTGGCCCCTCCTCTGGCCTTTTGTTATGGCAGTTTTATCAAAGCTCAAGTTTTTGCTAACCAAACACCAAAGGGAATCTGGAGAGTGTTGATCTATGTAACTACCTCTAAGTATATTGTTTGCAAATACTGTGAACTATTTTAAGGCTAATATAGGGGATTCACATGAAATTATATTAGAACATTTTATAAGAAATAAATACTAAGTGCCTATTAAGATTCTCCAGTAGGATGTATTTTTAGTTTTTACCACAAGAGGGAGAAGTTATTTTATAGTAATACCTACATTCTTGTTTGAGTTCAGAAATAGACTTTATGTTACCTCTTGACTACACATATGAATATGTCACTGGAGGGGGGGGGGAGAGAGAAAGGTTGATTCTGAAAATTATGCATAAGAAAAATGCTAGGACAATTAAGGACACAAAACCAAAACATACGTGCACAGTGGACACAGGAATTGAACAAAGTACAACGAAATTAAAATTGGTTTTTTAGGGTTACCTATCATATTAAATTCCTTTATTAGCCCTTTGAGAACTTAATGGATTGTGCATTCTTCTTAAAGAAAAATTTGAAACAATCTGAGACTTAAAGAAGAGATAAATACAGTTTAAGCTGCTCCCTCCTGTTTGGAGTAAATTGCTGCTATGTTGCGGCCACACTTTTGCATCTCCAAAGAAGAAAGTCTTTTGTAAACTTGAGGTTAAGAATTTACATTGCCTTACGTGTTGCGCCAGTAGTATTTTAATAGGTTAGAGTTGAGCATTGCGTGTAGCTTTGGCTTGTGTCGAGTGTCTTTCATTCCGAGATAGTTCCTTAGAGTGTCTTGCACCTTTAGGACCACAGGCACTTTTATAGATGATAGGCAAGTGATTTTGTCCTCACATTTGGATTTGTTTCTTCATGATTGCGTTCCAGTTGTGCTCCTTGGCAGAACTGCAAATGCTAGTCTGCATTTTCATTGTATTCTACTAGGTAGTGCAGTTTAATCTGCCCCATTTCTAATGTCATTTTGATCACTTATTTGAGATACTGGGCTGCTTAACTGTAGGAGAACTATTTTTCCCTTCATAAATATTTTGTGGGGAA